TGTTTCTCTCTTACACACACACACACACACACACACACACACACACACACACACACACACACACAAACACTTTGGAAGGTTCTTTTTTTCATGGTTTTATGAAAGAGTCAGTTTTTCACACACACAATCTCCCTCCCTGCCTACATTTTCAGCAATCATTTGCAGCAGTTCAGTATGTCCCTGTTTCCTCTCATTAAATTTGAACAAGCTGATGAATCCACCCATCCCTCTTTTGCACCTTCCTTCCCATCTTAATTGGAGCTTTCCCTCCTGCTTGCAGTCACTTCTGGCGGAAGTAGTAATTCACAAGCCGGATTGACTGCCCAGGGCTGTTCTATAGCATAAACAATAAAGCAGCCTTATCTCCGATCTCTAAAATAATTGATTTACAAGTGCTGCAACCAAGGAAGGCAGCAGGGATAGTTGGCTTACAGTCGTGCAGTTTGAGGTTCGGCTGCAGGGGGTGGGGGTTTAGCGTTCCACTCGCATGCCCAGGGAGAGGTCTCTGCATGCCAGCTGTGGCACGTGTGCCGTAGGTTCGCCATCACTGCTATAGAGGATAGTGAACAGCTCCTCTATTGCCTTCACAGCTTTATGTCAGATAGGAACTGGCAGTGGAAGCTGTATGTCTGCCTCTCCTTTCCCCATCTTGATAGTCCCCAGTAGAAATGCTTATCCAGTGGACCAGTGAGTTTTCTTGTGTCAGGATCTGGAAGGGGGTGGGTCCTCAGGGATATTAAGGGGTAGGAGACGGGATGGCTGGGGTTGTCAAAATCCTGCCCCTGTTGGCAGTGAGACCCTGATGGCTACTCTGAGCAAGGGGAACCGTGGCCAGTGGTCAGTAAATCAAGGGAGCCCCGGTGGCAAAATGTTTGAGAGCCACTGCCTTAGTCAGTTGCGTGATAGCATCATAGCGACCACCACTAGACTGTCAGTCTTTACAGAGCCTAAAGAGGACCATCTGGAAATGAGAGAAATATAATCAAACCTGGGGGAATCCCAAGGAGAACAGAAGTGCAACATATTTTGGGGGAGAGGGAATATGAGGGAAGGAATCCCTAAAAGAGTTCTATGACAACTAAGTACAATCAGTCAACTCAAATGAAATGCTGACTGACTATTGGATAACAATGAACTGAAGAACTGATATGGGCAGGGAGGAATGGAATGGAGTAGAATGTAGAAATTCATCCCTGGCCAGAATCCTAAAAATGAGCACTTCATACTTTTTCAGGTCCTGTCTGTTTCCTCATAATTCAAGTGTACTAGTTTGTTAATAGCAAAACCAAAAATGATTTTTCTCCCATTTTAAAGACTAACAGATGTGCCATGACATAAGCTTTCATTCATAGGGCTCCGATAAATGAAAGCTTGTGTTAAATTAAACATGGTAGTTCCCTCATCGTCAACCCAGACCATGGGCCACCAATATCTAAAATGCTGTTTCAGCCTGATTCCTACCCATTTTTACGAAATTATAAAGATGCATTGCTTTAGGAAAGGGGCCGGGGAAGTTCTTGCCTGTAGCTGCTTCAGACTTGGACTCCCTATACTTCCACCCAGCATGGCCAATGGTAAGGGATCATGATGAGATCTGAAGCCCAAAGCATCTGAAGAGGGGAAAGGCCATGCTTCAGGAGAAGCCCATGTTGATATCCAATGTGAAAGGAAGACAGCATACACATTTTACCAGCTGCCAACATTCCCTCTTCCCTGGCTTAAGTAACAAAACGAACCTTTTGTCCTACAGGTCCAGGAGACCCTGGATCACCAGGTTTTCCTTTCTCACCCTGTTGATGAAATACAGACATAATGAGATATTCGCTGTGGTTCTTTACTTACCTTGCAGTAGGTCTGCTGAATGGCAGTGAACCTTCCTATAAGTACAGTATAAAAAGCTTATCTTCAGCTGACTCCTGTTTCTTCTCTAGCTTTCTTTCTAAAGCGGGTGAACACTTTCCAAAAAGGATCAGCTTGCATTTCCCAGTAAAACTATCAGTTTTGGCCTTGGGGTTACCATTTTTGTAACAAATTCACACTATGAATTTGTCTGTGCAAGGATGGATGAAAAACAATGACATTCTTGATACAGATTTTTAAAAACCTCCTTTTAAAAGTTCTAATTAAAGCGTATTTCTGTTATTAAAATAATCCAGTTTAAGATAAAATCGGAGCAACACAAACATACACTGGGCTAAAATGTAAGTTTATCACCCCTTTTCAAATTTGGAAGTCATGAAAATCCTCCTTTCTTTCTTTTTTTAAAAATGGGAGATTATCTTCCCTATACAACCATTTATGTAATTATATTACGGATCAATACTTGGGGCCAAGGACTAGGAAGTAAACATAGCCATTGGAATGGAGCCAATGCCACACTACATATAATTGGGACCATTCTGAGAAGCCATATGGATGACTTGTTCTCCAATTTTATTCCCAAGTAACTGAACTTGCATAGTCATACGGTTTTGGAAAATCAAGGCTAGTACTAGTGTTAGAAAGAGCAAGACAAGGCAAAAGATCTTGGACTAACTCTACGTTATTGGTATCAATAGCTCTAGTAAATCAAACCACATAGACATTATTTTGCTAACAATTATTCTGATATTATTTTGCCCATCATTTGGTTAGGAAAAATGCTGGATACTTGTCACAACCCACTAAATAATTTTGCTGAGTATTCCTGCATATGTGCACATGCCTTGTGTAAAAGAACATTCTATATCTTTACAAAGTGTATACACTAAAGTCTGCACAGCCAAAAGTTTTGAATCATGCCTCTAGGTTAGCCAAATGCTTTATTTTAGTTGCAAATGAGTATTCACTATTTGCATTTGGTTTAGTAAATGTTACAAGCCACCTTCAGCAGAGGCCCACAGTTTAAAGAAGACATTCTTCAAAAAAAGAAATCAGCAACGAAACAATATAAAACATGAGAACAGCAGCCTCCAGCCAGCAAAACAAGCTGAATCATTAAAAAATGGCAATTTAAATCAAATCTACTGAAATGCTTGAGAAAATATTTTTTAAAACTTACTTGCGTTGAATTTAAAAAGTCATAAGTGTGTCTACCGGGCACTAGGGGTGACATTCTAAAGATGTGGCATCAAACCAAAAAGGTCTTCTGTCCATCCTAATAGGGGAAAGTCTTAGACATTCCTGGGAAAGGTGCAAGAACAGCTATGCCATATTGTGTTGGAGAGGTTGTCAGAAAGTAGGTATTTATTTTCATGGGTAGTGGGAATGTGAGAATATAATGAAATTTTGGCAATTAGTTTTTAAGGGAATGAATAAAATAACAGTTAAAGATGGAGGTATGTCCTAAAATAGTGCTATTATCAATACTGGATAGGGTGCAATGTAATTGGACAAGTAAAGAATTTCTACTTTTTTAACAACAGCAAGACTAATTGTAGCTAGGAATTGGGGGGGGGGATATATGATGTGAACTGCTGCATAGCTTGGTGTTTTAGCCAGAGGTTGGGAGTTTGTGCCTCCTTGACAGGGGTTGGACTCACTGGTCTATAGGGTTCCTTCAAGCTCTACAGTTCTAAGATGATGATAACGGTATTTTCAACGAATGTTATAGAAAGGTTTAGGATATAGCTTTAATGATAAGTTAACATGTAACATTAAAGTAAAGAAGGGCCTGACAAGTAAGAATATATTTATAGGTATATGGGGAGAATTTGTTGATTTTGTGTTAATATATGGAACAGAACACACACCTTCGCAATAATACATGTGATTTTGGAAGGTAAATGGGGATCTATAGAAAGGGAGGGAGAAATGGCCATAACTCCCAAATGGTTCCAGGGGTGTGGGAAGTATGATTTGTATTTATTTTTTTATGTGTTGTTAGATGGTTTTTGTTTGTATGTTTTGTTTAAAAGATATTTAAAGGAACAGCCATGGAAACCAGATACACTTAGATAATATACAAAGCGGACCTGGGGGAAGTTTCTCTCTATGGGAAATAGGCAGCCATGCACTGAGCAGAACATGACAATGGGGACATGAAAAGGAGGGGCAAATATAAAGGATTTAGAAATGGCCAAGAATGAGAGCAAAGTGGTTTAGCAGAGGAGTTATGGACGAGGAACACCGAAATGTTTGGAGCATTCGGTCTCCTGTTATCTTATCATTGAAAGATCTCTTTTACCCACCTCTTCCAGAACTTTTCTCCAACCAAGATAGCTTATAAACTTAAACTAATAAAATGAAGATTCCCCAAGAAACAGCCTCTATTCCACATAATTGTATTCTATGTTTGCCTGATACCCACATGATTCTAAGAAGGAATAGGAGTCCAAATAGCCAAAACGCCCTGAATGATCAAAATAAGCAATCATCTCTGAGCTTTGTGATCCACAATATAGGATGGTGCTTGAGATATCATGTATGAGAAAAATCTCTCTTTGCCCATGTATCATGGATAGCAATGCTCAGAGATTATTGCACACATGGATTCTGTCATCCTCTAGTCTAGGGAACCAATGATGATATCCTCTTTTAAAAAATTCCAGCATCTTTCTGTACCTCCAATCTTCCCATCATGCATATCGTGTTCGGAATTTGGAATGTAAAGACAAATGTAACATAAAATTATCCGTTTAAGAAAACAGCTGATGTTTTGTATATTGTGAATACTGATTTTTGGAAAAACATTAGTCTGGCCCAGTCTTCCTCTTAAATTCTAGCTACATGCAGCACACATGTTAAGTAATGGAATACAAATAAACACTCTTTCCCAAGCATTTGAGTGCAGCTCAAAGCAATCTAGTTAGAGCTGGGATTGCTGGAAAGGGCAGTGCCAATTAGCAAACCAAGCCCAAGCATATTTTCAATGTCCTACCCGCTGCCCCCTTTTCCCTGGCAAACCTGGGGGCCCCATCTTTCCTGCAACTCCACGGTCTCCCTTTTTTGAATAAGAAAAGACAAGCACAGGATAATGTCTGTTATACATAACTCGTATTTCCTAGGCACTGCTTCAGTAAATTATGAAACATGAGGGGGGAAACCCACTCCTCCAAAAGAAGACTCCTAAAACTCATTCAGCAACATGCAAAAGGAGGGAATATGTAGCAAAATAGAAGCAAGGTGGCGGCAGCAGGAGAAGCTCTGTGTGGTCCGGAAACAATACTGGTGTGAGTTTGTTGTCTGATTCCTGTGAAAGAGTCTTACACTGCTCTTTCTTGCCTTAACATGATGCCTGATTAGACACCTAGATTTGACGAAAGGGACCAGCATACTGTACGATGGTGCTTCAGAGATTATGCATGAGAAAAAGCAGCTTGGCTGACAAAGAGCACAGGAGAGCAGAAAAAGGTGAGGAAGGGGGTGGGAAGAGGAGTGCATTTCATCAAAAGGGAGCAATTGAAAGACCTGTCTGGATCCTTCTCACAAGAGAAGAAACATCGATCAGTGTGAACAGAAGGATAGCTCAAATGTGAGATAAAACAGATCACACAAAAGATAAAACCCATTTAAATGTGAACCAGACTGCTTCACCTTCCCTAGACTGGATGTGCTCTGGCTTCAAAGTAGGTACCTGTAGCTTGTTAATATTCATAGTGAGCAATGTAACAAGTGATTACCAAGTTGCAGCAAAAGTAATGAAACCAGTAATTACTTTTAGGTACAAATGCATTCGAATTACTTTCAGATGTTACTTGTAAAGAACATTTTAAAGCATTTTGACAAGAATCTTCCAGATTTCATGCCACTTTCAACGACACATGGCAGGGGAAGTTTTGTTTTGTTTTGTCTTTTCTAGTTTAATAAATATTTGCAAGGTGCAATATCAGAATTAACCACTTGAGAAAAAGAATATTTCCCCACATTTTTCTGACTTGCAGGTGATAACAACTCAACACTTCAGTAACTCATAATGCAATGACTAGTATGAAGAGAACAACAATAGTAACCTGGCTGCCCAGAAGTTCAGAAACCCTGGCCCCATTGAATGTTTGGGCCAAATGATAGTTTCTGGCAAGCTGTGACTAGTTAACTAGTGGCAATTTCCCATTGCAATTTAAGCATTTCACTTACTGTATATCAATATGACTAACCAATAGGATTGTCATCAACACATCAGTTATAATTAATTCCTGTTTCCTAATAATGGAGAATTAGTGCAGGGAAATCACCCCAGAGGGAGACCACAACTGAGATACGAGGACATCTGCATGCGAGATCTGAAGGCCTTAGGCATGGACCTCAACAGATGGGAAATCCTGACATCTGAGTGTTCAGCTTGGAGGCAGGCATTGCATCACGGCCTCTCCCAATTTGAAGAGACCCTTGTCCAGCAGGCCGAGGCAAAGAGGCAATCACGAAAGCAACAAAATCAAGGAGCTGGACAGGGGACAGATTGCATTTGTCTTCAGTGTGGAAGGGACTGTTGCTCTCGAATTGACCTTCACAGCCCCACTAGATGCTGTTCCAAGTCCTCCATACAGAGCATATTACCATTGTCCAGACCTGGGCAAAGTGCGGCCTGAGGGCCATGTACGGCCTGCGAGCTGCTCCTGTCCGGCCCGTGGACAGTTTTGAATCTGAAAACCATTTATAGCTTTTTGTCTAAAGTTGATCAGTTGCTTATCTTTAACATACCGCAAAAAACCTTTTTAGTATTTGTGAAGATTAACAAGTTTAAAATAAAAACAACCATAACATCACTGTTTCATTTTATTTTTAAGTAAAGTTGCTTCGGCCCCCTGAACACAGTTCAGATTTTTCATGTGGCCCCCCTATAGAAATTAATTGCCCACCCCTGCCATAGTCT